CCCAAAATGTCCATGGAGAACCCACAATGTCCAGGAGAACCCAAAATTTCCCTGGAGAACCCAAAAATGTCCATGAGAACCCAAAATTTCTTCTGGAGACCTCAAAAGTTTCTTCTGGAAATCCAAAATTTCTCCAGGAACCTCAAAATGTCCATGGAGAACCCAAAAATGTCCATGGAGAACCCAAAATCTCCATGGGAACCCCAAAGTTCCTCCAGGAGAACCCAAAATTCCACCTGGAAACCCCAAATTTTTCATGAAGACCCCAAAATTCCTCCAGGAGACCCCAAAGTTCCTCCAGGAGACCCCAAAGTTCCTCCGAGGAACCCCCCAGGAACGTCCTGAGGTGTCCCCAGAGGTGCCCACGGGTCCCCGTTTGTCCCCAGATGTTCATCATGGACAAGGTGGAGGGCGACGTCTGCTCCCTCAACGAGTTCTCCATCACCGGCTCCACCTACGCCCCCGAAGGAGAAGTGTGAGTCCAGGATGTCCCCAGATGTCCCCAAAAGCCACCCCGAGAGCTCCAGACCTCCAAAACCTCCCCAAATGTCCCAAAAACCTTCTCAGAGGTTCTCAAAACCTTCTCAGAGGTCCTCAAACCTTCTCAGATGTCCTCAAAACCGTCTCAGAGGTCCCCAAAACCGTCTCAGAGGTCCTCAAACCTTCTCAGATGTTCTCAAAACCTTCTCAGAAGTCCTCAAAACCTCAAATGTCCTCAAAACCTTATCGGAGGTCCTCAAACCTTCTCAGATGTCCTCAAAACCGTCTCAGAGGTCCTCAAACCTTCACAAATGTCCTCAAAACCTTCTCAGAGGTCCTCAAACCTTCTCAGAGGTCCTCAAAACCTTCTCGGAGGTCCCCAAACCTTCTTGGAGGTCCCAAAAACCTTCTCAGAGGTCCCCAAAAGCTTCTCAGAAGTCCTCAAAAGCTTCTCAGAGGTTCTCCAAGACCTTCTCAAATGTCCCCTGGTGTCCCCAGGCTGAAGCAGGAGCGGCCGGTCAAGGCGGGACAGTTCGATGGCCTGGTGGAGTTGGCCACCATCTGCGCCCTCTGCAACGACTCCTCGCTGGACTACAACGAGGTGACAGCGGTGGCCACCACCGGGGCCACCACCGGGGCCACCACCGGGGCCACCATGGGGGTCACCACAGGGGCCACCAGGGCCACCAGGGCCACCATGGGGGTCACCATGGGGGTCACCAGGGCCACCAGGGCCACCACCGGGGCCACCAGGGCCACCATGGGGATCACCGGGGCCACCATGGGGGTCACCATGGGGGTCACCAGGGCCACCATCAGGGTCATCACCTGGGTCACCATCTGGGTCACCATGGGGCCACCACTGGGGTCTCCATGGGGGTCACCACTGGGGTCATCTGGGTCATCTGGGCCACCACAGGGGTCACCTGGGCCACCTCCAGGTGTCCTCAACCCCCTGGGGTTGTCCCTTCCTGTCCCACCTGGACCACCACTTGGACCACCAGAGCCACCACCAGGGCCACCTGGACCACCTGGGCCATCACCTGAGGTCATCATCAGGGTCACCATGGGGGCCACCACTGGGGTCATCACCTGTCCCACCTGGGCCACCACCAGGGCCACCACCAGGACCACCTGGGCCACCATCAGGGTCACCATGGGGGCCACCACTGGGGTCACCACCTGTCCCACCTGGGCCACCACCAGGACCACCTGGACCACTGAAGTCACCACGGGGCCACCAGGGCCACCATGGGGGTCATCTGGGCCACCATGGGGCCACCACCAGTGTCACCACCAGGACCACCAGGGCCACCAGGTGTCCCCGCGCTGAGTGTCCCCGTCCCTCAGGCCAAGGGTGTCTACGAGAAGGTCGGCGAGGCCACCGAGACGGCGCTGACCTGCCTGGTGGAGAAGATGAACGTCTTCAACACCGACGTCAGGAACCTGTCCAAGGTGGAGCGCGCCAACGCCTGCAACGCCGTGAGTGTCACCTGGGCCACCGCTGGGGTCACCTGGGCCACCGGGGCCACCAGGGCCACCAGGGACACCTTCTGGGCCACCTGTCCCACCTGGAGAAGCTCCCGTTGTCACCTTCTCCACGGTTCCTCTGCTTCTCCCCATCTTCTGGTGTCCTCCAGCCTGTCCAGGGTGGAGCAGGACAGTGACAGGAGTGTCCCCAGGGCCACCAGGGTCACCAGGGCCACCTGGAGAACCTCCCGTTGTCACCTTCTCCATGGTTGTCCCCATGGTCTCCACATCTTGGTGGCCTCATGTCCCACCATGGGTCCAGAACCTGTCCAAGGCCACCTTGGTCACCTCCTGTCCCACCTGTCCCACCTGGAGAACCCGTGTCACCTCCTGTCCCACCTGGGCCACCTGTCCCACCTGTCCCACCTTGGTCACCTTCTGGGCCACCTTCTGGGCCACCTGGAGAACCCGTGTCACCTTCTGGCCACCTGTCCCACCTGGAGAACCCGTGTCACCTCCTGTCCCACCTTGGTCACCTCCTGTCCCTGGTGTCACCTCCTGTCCCACCATGGTCACCTCCCGTCCCTCAGGTGATCAAGCAGCTGATGAAGAAGGAGTTCACGCTGGAGTTCTCCAGGGACAGGAAGTCCATGTCGGTCTTCTGCTCGCCGGCCAAGGCCTCGCGCGCCGCCGTGGGCAACAAGATGTTCGTCAAGGTGGGGTCACCTGGAG